TTTATTTTGCCTCCCCCAATTCTGCACATGTGAAGCCACCCGATCCTGGGGACCGTGAGAGGGAAGCCGTGGTCTGCACAGCGCCTTCAGCTTGCTGGCTAACGTCACACGGGTTATTGGAGAGGACGAGCACAACATTTCTGGAAGAAAAGCAAACAGTCTTCCCAGGTTATCAGGGGACACAATCATTCCAACAGAGGAGGTTTAAATGCATAAAAGACTGTTTAGGCCCAAACCACAGAGACTGACAAACCACCAGAAATATGGCACAATTGCCTTGAGGAAATAGTTCCAGGTTTTAGTGACACCTTTTGCTCATTATTAGATACACAAACGGAGACTGATGCATTCATTTTTGCCACTGAATTGCAAGGCAGCGAGAAGGTAATTCAGTATAGCAAAGAGTTAGGAGAGGAGTCAGAACTGCAGTGCATGCAGGCGTGTGGCGTCCGTGTGCGTGGGCACACGTGTGTGTGTGTGCGCATGCACGTGCATGCTCGTGAGTGGGTGTGTGAGTGTGTCAGGGTGCAACGAGGCATTTTGGAAAAGCCTTAGGGGACGGCACCTGCTGAGCAGAGCAAACCGCCGCTGCCTTGTTCCCTGGGAAGGGTTTCCCTGCAGCCGGGCCGTGGCGTGGGGTGTCCCGGCCGCCCCGGTACCGCGATCCCCTGTATCCAAAGCCGTAAATGAGAGAAGTCCAAAGGCTGGGGCCGGCAGAACGGTGCCCGCCTCAGCTCAGTCGCTGAGGACGGCCCCCGGCAGCTCGTTCGTTAGCGTGTGCCAGCGCTCGATTTTCTTGTCCTTGTTTTTCAGGCAGTCGAACCAGTGCTTCAGCCGCTCGCCTTTGGCATTAATTCCTAACACGACTCCACCTTGAGAGGAGACAGAGAGAGGGAGAGGTGGGGGTGAGCATCAGCCCTGAGAGGGATGCCGGGGGATGCTGAGGGATGCCAGATGGAACCAGGTCATGCAGCCACTCCCATGGCATCCGATGCCCCGACCTGCTGTGACACACAGGCAATCACAGCCCGGCTTCCCCGGCCCCTCCCGGCTGTGGTCTGGGACCTGCCCCGGGCAGCTTGTTCTTACGCCAAGGGCTGGATGCTCGTTACAATTGCAGCGGCTGTCAGAGATACTGGGCAGTTGTTAGCAATAATCACAGTGACCAGTAACAAAATCACAACAAGCCTAGACCGCCAACGGACATAAATGAAACTTCCCTCTTAAATCTGTGTTTTATTTAGAAGAAAAGATCTGAAAACAGAAGGGGAGAGGGAGATGCATCTTCTCCCCGTTTGGGTGCTCCTTGCATGGGGGATGTCTGAAGTGAGGAGCATCAGGGCCGGCTGCAGGAGAGGAGGCCCAGGTGCAGGAGAGGGGTAAAAGCAAAACAGAAACCCAGCAAGAATGAACGTGGGGATGGAGAACAAACCGGGGGGCTGGAGAAGTGCAGAAGAGCAGTAGTTGAAAAAAGAAGAGGCACAGAAGGTGAAGATAAAAAAAAATTAGGCCAAGGAGACCTTCTGGAGTCCCTGCTTACTTACCTATGAAATCGTTTGATTTCCCGATATCGTAGTCCCACACTGTGACTTCCAAGGTCTTTTTCGCCAGGTCGCTGTGCTTTATCTCATAGCAAAACTCCTGTTGGGGAGCGGAGACAGAGCCGGGATGAACCCATGCCGGGTGCCTGCAGGGGCTGGGACCCTGGGAGGGGGCTGGGGCTGTCCCTCCTCCTCCTCAGGCTGTTGCCCTTTGCCACCCACAGGGAACTCAGTCTCAATCCCTCGCCTAATGGCTGGGGTTGGGGTTTTTTTTCCTTTTAATTCCGAGAACTGAGAAAAGCCCCTAGGCGAGAACCACAACTGGGGAAAACCCACCTCATTATGCCTGCAGGGGCTGGGACCCTGGGAGGGGGTTGGGGCTGTCCATCCTCCTCCTCAGGCTGTTGCCCTTTGCCACCCACAGGGAACTCAGTCTCAATCCCTCGCCTAATGGCTGGGGTTGGGGTTTTTTTTCCTTTTAATTCCGAGAACTGAGAAAAGCCCCTAGGCGAGAACCACAACTGGGGAAAACCCACCTCATTGAACTCGGGGTTCAGCGTCTTCTTCTTCACCGCCGTCTTATGCTTTGATTTCTTGTCCTCATCTGGTTTCAAGTAACTGCAACGAAACCAACACAGCATGGTCACACACAGGTCCCGTGCCCTCTCCCAGCGAGGAGGGCAGGTAGGGCTGCCCGGGCCCTCCCCTGCAGCCCGGGCAGGGCTGGGGGCACCTGCGGCTGCGGGACCAGCTCCTGAGCAGAGGCAGGGGGAGGTGGGGACCCAGGCCCCCCCCAAACCTGCAGCTTCCTCCTTCCCTCCCTTCCCCTGCCAAAATGCTGGAGGTGGCTGGAAGGAAGCAGCAACTCCCCACATTACCACAAGACAGTCTCTGGCTGCCATCGGAGAGCACTGATTATCCCATCTCCAGTCCCTAGGGGACACTGGCACCCCACACATGCTCCCAGCTCCCAAAAGCAAATGCTCCCAGTCCAGACTTGGGACTGTGCAACGGGTATGCTCATCCAGAGCCTTGCTGGGAGGCAGAAACCACACGCAGGTGCGTAGGAGGGAGCAGGACCAAGTGCAGCAGCTGCAGTTCCGTGCACCGCTGTTTCCTGCAGATATTTTGCAGCACAACAGCAGGGCCGAAAAGCAAATGAGATTAAAGTGTCATCAAGTAGAGAGGGCACCTGAAATCTGGGCCAGGCCAAAGTCAATCCATCATCGTTTCACTGCTGCTCCTTTAAACATCAGTTCTGCTTCCTTGTTGCACTTTCCAGATCTTGTTCATAATTAAAAAATTAGGGCTTGTACCGAGAAGCATCACTTGTCTATCTGCTCTGATTCAAGCCCTGCAGGTACAACCTACTGCAGATAGCACAAGGGGCACCTACAAAACGAATGTGTACAACAACGGGAATTATGTTACTTCAGGGACTGAGCCTTCGATGGGCATTTTAAAAAAGCAGGAGTGGATTTTTATGCAAATACCTCCACTCCTAATTAACAATTAACTAGGAAGGCAAAAGCATGCTGCCGATAAACTCCATTACTGGCCTCCCAGGCGTCAGGCGTGGCTCATCCCAGCAGCTCTGCCTTAGCAAATATCATCCCTGAAAGTGCCAGAGTTTGGGTCAGGGCAGTGGGGACAGGGAGGTGGGATAGGTGCACGGGGGACTGCTGGCCCTTCCTTGCCATGGGCCCCTGCTTTGCAGAACAGAGAGCGAGTTTGAAAAATGCCACCCACCCAAAAAACAGAAGCTGCGGCCATGCAGGGCCCCACGCCAGCCCAGCTCTGCGTCAGCAAACCATCCCCTTCCTCAGCATCCCTTAGCAGCCCCTGGATGACACCAAATTCCCTGAATCACTTGGGTGAGGCCGAGTCACAGCAGCCCATTACAGTCATTTTAATGTCTCTTTTTTTTTTTTTTCTTTAGTATCGTTGGTATTTTTCAAAAGGAAGGTACTCCCAGTCATTTGCATCGGAAAGTGTCAGCAGGACCCGTAAATGTGCCCTCAGCTCTGTTAACCAGGCCCTGGAGCCACTGGAGCCACAGGTTGCGATTAAAGTGCTGTCTGACCTAATTACACACACGCTGTAATTAGAGCCTTTCCAAAGCCTAGGGTGGTGGCCCTGCTGCCAGGCTGGGAGCTGAGCTGGGAGCCTCCTCTCCCTTGGGACCTGGGGAAAGGGGCAATTAACTGCCCGTCCCCTGGGGCCAGGAGGGGGGGATGCCTGCGCCCCAATGCTGCTGGCCAGAAGGGTCAGACCTGACCCAGCAGGGACAGTGCGGGCTTCAAAGAGCGAAACGGCTGGGGCTGTCACCAGGAAGGAAAGCAAAGGCGTCTGCAGGTGCCGAGCAAGGTCCAGGACCACTGGGCACAAGCACTGTCCTGCTTGGGAGATACCCATCCCCACGCTGCCAGCTGCGACCCACCATCCGCCGGGCTGGGGCCGGGCCGTCAGCAAAACCTGACCATACCTGCCTGCTTTGGGCCACCAATTCTGTCCCCAGGGGCCATGTCCATGTCACAGACCCTCTCCCAAGCAAGGCAGTGCAAAGCCTGGCAGTGGG